TTTGGCTGCCAGTCAAGTTAAACCACCACAATATGGAAAGTAGAGAAGGGAGAGGGAGAGAGTGGATGAAAACTGTATTTGTCAATGTGCCTGCTTCCATGGGTGACTCATCAGATGCATACTAACTGTCTCATTTTGGTAATAATCTGAACAAACTGTTTATTTGTTTGTCTTGTGATAGTTCCTAGGCAGGAGCCACAACTCTGCAGTTACAGGTAGGGTAGTAAGGGCAAAAAGTCTTCAAAAACAGATAACCTGATTACACCGATCAGTATTGCTGTGTGCTGCTTATACATTTGTTACTTACACACACACAGGTCCGACCATAGTGTTTTCCTCTATACAGTTTATTTTTGCTTGTTTTCTTCTAGATTCATAGGATAATGAATTTCAACTTGCGTACTCATTAATGGTGCCTTGTGTCATAAACATGCTCTAAAATAGATGTCCAGTGCATCTTTTCACCTAGGTGGGAAAGAGCTGCTTCAATCGCAGCACATCGTTTTCAATAAATAGCATTGTTTTCATCGCCGGGAGGCGTGTTTCTGCCGCAGCTGTGGGAAATAAGCCCTGAAATCAAAATGAGTAACTGAGAATTAAATTCCTGTAGCTTTTTACCGTTAAAGAAATAACAAAACATAAAAAAACAAGTAATAGATGTTGTGTATCTTCAGTTAATGATAACGCACAAGACATGGGGCAACGTCTGTGAGTCCTTAGTATTTACTGTTGACTGGTTACAGACATTTTAAGATGGTGAGTAATCCGGGTAGGCAGTTGCATAATTACTGTGTGAAATGTTCAGTGTCACAGATTTGTATACTGGGTGCATCTGTGCTAGAACGGGTTCACCTGTGTGGTCTCTGTCTTGTAACCCTGGTCTTCATCTCAGGGTTACTTGATCAAGGGAGCAAATGGTTAAAACCAGTTGAAGTGAAAAAAGGCCTCTAAGTGGTATTTTTGGAAGTCTTTCATTACAGAAATGCTCATGGGTAGGGTGCCTGCAGAAGATTGCTGCATCAGAGCTGACAGCAGTAGTACTAATGTTGCGATTAGGTAATGATAAGACTATCCACTAATCTGACTTTGCACTAGGTTATGTGCTGAAAATGGGAACCATGCAAAGTAGTTGTGTTGTCCATTCCCCTTTATTTAAAATAATGGGTTTGTCATCATCTTTTCTTGTTCTCCCTCCTTTGTCATAGGGAGAAAATTGAATTTTAGTCATGACACCAAAGGTACATTTCATTATATAACAATTACACTCTCTGGGGATGGGTTTATAGCAGGCTCAAATACACAGGGAAGCCAAGTCTAATGGTCTAACATCAGAGAGGATCGGTGTGCCGAGCCCCCTGGGACGCGGGAAGGAACATGTTCACAGTCACAGAGGTCAATCCATCTTGTTTCAGCACTGATGTGATGCGAGCTGGTGGGAAATTTGCATGAGGTGACTTACACATCATTTGTGGAATGCTTTAGAAATGCAGGTCTTCAGCAAGGTGCTGTGCTAGGGGGTTTTTTGGTTGTTTTTTTCCCTTAACTCTGTCAGGATCTAGTATCCATCACTTGGTGCAGTTAGAGAAGAATGGTGCTGAAGCTGCTAACATAGCACAGTCATATTCATGGATTTTTTGTTTCTTGTCATTCAGGATTGTGAATGGGAGGCTATTAGCAGTGCTGCACATAGTTACACAGATTATGTAAAAATATTAATAAAAGGTAATTGCTAAACAGTTATTGATGGTGGTTACAGTGCTTAAAGAGAAATATGGTCTAGTTGTTCCATAGATTATAAGGATTACTCAAAATTGCAGCTATGCAATGAATATACCATGAATATTTTATTGAAGTAAGAGGCAGTGAATATTGTGGTCTGATAGGAACCTTGTCTGAGTGGTATATTCTACAAGTAGCATTCAAATGCCTAAACTCTGGCTTTTGTACAGCTTTTCTAATGCAAAGTAACTTCCAAATTATGCATCTTCCTTTTGTGACCTCATGCTCGGTGTGGGGGGGGGACTTGCATGTTGTGTGTTTATCATTCTAATATGGTTGCAAAGACAGAAAAGATACAGTTTAATTCAGTGTGAAAACCAAGAGGTTCTTTCTTACCATGCTTGAGATTTGTCTAGTTTCCACCAGTTTTCCTCTACTTTGTGTTTAATGTGTAAATCCCCAAAATAAAGCATATTTGAAATGCCCTGCCAGGTTTATACCCTTGTAACTGCTCGTACATACCCCAGATTTAAAACCCTCAGTACTCTTGGGAATAGCACTGATACATGTATTGTGGTAGTTTTTAGGGAGCCCAGGCAGCAGCTCAGACCTGGTGTAATTGATCATAGGTTTGTTAGAACTGAGCACAGACTCATCCAAAAGGTTTGTAATGCATTTTCTAATAACTCTAATTTGATTTTTTTTTGGTAGCAAAACTCAAACCCAGATGTGCTTTGGTTCCCAGCTCTTCCCCGAACTCTTACAATAACATTCTTTCTCCCCACACCTCTCAAGAAAACCCTCTTTCCTTTTTTACAACACTATCTTGTGACTGATATACATAACTTTTTTTTTCCCAGAAATACCATTTTTCAGACCCTTATCCTTGTTCCTATCTGAAAAACTTGCCTTTGCACAACCTGGGGCTGCTCCCTGTTCTCTCTCCTTGGGATACCATCTTGCTTTGCTTGGCTCAGTGGGATTTTTAACTCTGGCTTCAAAGGCCAGACATTAACTCCCGTCCCTGCCGACGGGGTTTGAAGCATCTCGGTGTCTCTGGAGCAATGCTCTCTGGTACAGCACAAACACAATGCTCACTGACACTCCAGAAGGACATGGAGCTACTGGAATGAGTCCAGAGGAGGCCACGAGGATGATGCAAGGGCTGGAGCAGCTCTGCTGTGAGGACAGGCTGAGAGAGTTGGGGCTGTTCAGCCTGGAGAAGAGAAGGCTCCGGGGAGACCTTCTAGCAGCCTCCCAGTACCTGAAGGGGCTCCAGGAAAGGTGGTGAGGGACTTTGGCCAAGGGCAGGGAGTGACAGAACAAGGGGTGATGGCTTGAAACTGGCAGAGGGGAGATGGAGATGAGATGTGAGGAAGAAATTCTTTGGTGTGAGGGTGGTGAGACCCTGGCCCGGGTTGGCCAGAGAAGCTGTGGCTGCTCCTCCCTGGAAGTGTTTGTGGCCAGGTTGGATGAGGCTTTGAGCAACCTGGTCTAGGGGAAGGTGTCCCTGCTGATGGCAGGGGGGTTGGGACTGGATGAGCTTTAAGAAGGTCCCTTCTAACCCAAACCAGCCTGTTCTAATCTAATTTTTGAGACAGGAGGGGGACAGGAGTGAACAGGACTGACCCCGGCCCACCAAGAGGGACTGGAGGGCAACGGGCCAGAGTGAAGGAAGGAGCATCTCTGGCAGCAGCAGCTTCATCAGGGAGAAGAGGCTCTGATGATGACTGTCCCTCTGCCTTCTCTTTTGTCATCTCTTCTTGGGGAAAAGATTTTTTTTTCCTGGCCTTTTGTCCTCTCATGACTCCTTCACAGCAGCCTTTTATTTTAATGATAGCATAGCAGTGAAACCGAGTCACATCACGGCCTGAAGGTTTCCATCTGCAGTGGAATGTAAAGAGACCTGGCGGTGTCTGACACGTTCTCAGTCTCTGAGAGAGACACTTGGGAGCTGAGCTGTGGGAATCAAGTGTTCAGACTAACTGTGCTTTCCAAAGCAGTGAATTGTTTTGATTAATTTTATTTTTTTTCCCCCATAGAAATTGGGAAGATCGACCAAGACATATATAAATACAACACCCCAGGATTCACTGGCTGCCTGTCCAGAGTACAGTTCAACCAGATTGCTCCACTCAAAGCAGCTCTGAGACCTACCAACGCCTCCTCTCACGTCCACATCCAAGGAGAACTGGTGGAATCCAACTGTGGAGCATCTCCACTCACCATCCCACCAATGTCGGCCGCTACTGACCCGTGGCACTTAGACTCAGGTAAGATGGGATGGGATTGATCGATGACTGTAGGGCTACAGTCGTGGTAGGAAATGCAAAGCTGGAATGACAAGAGATTTGCCACCACTTCTCAGTGCAATGACAGCATATTTTCCTTGCCTTTTTTAATATTCTGCTTTATTTTCCTTTTCCATAAGTCTTGGACTGGTTGAATGTTGAGTTTTGCCCTGGCTGCTGCCATAGCACTTTCTCATAGTATTGGGTGTGTAGTCAGCAGAAGGTTCCGGGTACAGATAAATAAGGTACAGTACCATTTCTTATGCTGTACTGCCAATAAGTGAGTATATTGTAGCCAGTTTTGTACAAAAATAGTAAATCTAATTTTAGGCATAAATATATTTATATAAAGTGCTGATTTGTTTTCTGAAATGTCTACTTTCCCTAGGCTCTGTTTAATGGGAAATCCCATTAGTCACAGTTTCATTCATCTCATGCTGAAAATGCTGGAAAGCCAAAACAATTTGCTGATGCCAGCAATCTCATCCTGCTTTGTGACTGGCAGGCTTTGGAAGTGTATGTTGTGCCTAAATTTTGAGGGGTTTTTTTCTATTTTACCTCTTGGGTATCAGATAAATACTTAAAAAAACCCCAAACCTGTTCCATTTAGGTTGATGGGGTCAGGTGTTTGTTGACCCTTCTCTCATGTCTTGTCCTCATTCTGATTTCACTTGTAGCAGTATAAATTAGAGCCTTTCATGGCAAAGTTGATGGGTTTCTAGTGGTATAAAGTTAAAATGCTAGAGGGAAAACTAGATCCATAATGATTTTGATAGTGATTCATCTTTGCCTGTTGTGTTTGGGGATGCATCTGTCTGCCAGTTTTTGTATGAAAGAGGGCAGATATATAGGTCTTTCTTAGAAGCCTGTGCCAAGGTCACACCTTTGGGGTTTGGATTTTTTCTTTTTCTTGCAATGTCAAACTATTCCTTGTAACATTTCCTTTCAGCTCTTCTTCAGTAGAGAAATAGGACAGAAGTTTGTAAGGAGAGGCAGATATCCCAGGGCTGAGGTTTCAGTGCCTCTTTTCCCTGTTGTAGCCTGCAATCTCTGACTTGAATTTTTCCATCACAAAGTAGTAATCTCTTTTTTTCTCTGAAATATAATAGGTCAGTTTGTACCTGAAGGTTATGTTCCATGCTCCTGTTTCTATAAAAGCACATTTCCTGAAGGATACTTTGCTGGCTCATGTCTTTGAAAAGTGTGCCATAAACTTCTTGAGGATGTGCTGCTGCTGTGAATCTTGTGCAGCTAATGGGTTTGGGCTGATAATTTTGGTTGGTTCTTTTTCCTACAGATAATTTGAGTGCAAGCTAGTGAAAGGCTATCGTGGGATTTGTTCAAGGTAGTTGAACTGTTCCTAATAAATAGCGCCTGGTGTTAAAGAGGGAGGTCCTGTTTGTCCTTGCCACATGCTACTATGCTTGTCTTTGTGTTGGCTCAGTCTCATCTTGGAAACTTTTGCTGAGTTGATTCAACCTTGTTCACTTGACAGATGACAAATTTATACATTTTATTCTGGATTAATATTAATCTCTTTGCCATGGCTGGACATGATTGTTTCAGTCATGAACAGCCAGAGTGCAAGTGACCCACCTTCATGGTGATGAGAAGCTTTAGCAGGACTAGAACCTCCTCTTGTCCTCTCCAGTTCTCTGCAGTAGTAGAGGGGAAAGAATAATATTGCTTTAAATACTTCTGGTGAGGGACTGCTGTGCGCTGAAGGGAGCCACAATGTCAGGTGAGTTAGGGCACAGCAAGGGAGTGGTGTTTCACCAGGGCAGGAGTGAAAGGATGTTGAGGTGTGGGTGAACAATTCCTGACTTTCTGGGTGATATTTCCATGACACAAAGAGGAGCTATCACAGCAACTTGTTTATCGGTATCAGGTAAGAACAACTCAGTCTTTGTAAAAGTACCTGTCTCTGGTGGTCTGACACAGCTAGCTCTGTTTCAGTCTCAGGAAAAATATAAACTGCAGACTGTGCAACCTTGCACACAGATGATCTTGGTGACTGGTAAATGAAAATGTTTGGGTTTAGTGTCACTTCAAATTAGCAAATTGGCAGTTTGCACTGAGGATTTTTGTTTGTTTCCCAAACCCTACTAGGAGACTTTCTAACACAAATTGAGTTGAAAGAGAAATCAGAAAAATCAGAGGTATAAGTAATGGTAACCATTGGCTCCAGAGCTGCAGTAGTCTCGGTACTCTCAGTGTGAATTTACTCCTTCACTAAAATGGCTGAAGGGACAAAACCAAAAAGTTCTTTTGAAAATCACAGAAACGCTTGTAGTGGTGCTACAGCAAAAGCCACACGTGGTCTGCCACAAAGAAATAGTTGCAAAGAACGTGGCTTTGAAAGCAGCACTTACTAGGTACAGGATTTCTCATTTCCTACATGTTTTTATCTGTAATTTTTACTGTTGTGTCACCTATTTAATTTTAAATAGATCTTAACAAAACGTGAGAGTTGAGGATGGACGGTTGCAGTGAAAAGAGAAAATAATGAAAACAATTGTGGCAAGTATCATATGGTTTAAATCTCATTCAGTGACATACTCTGCACTCATCCTGATTCAGATTTTGAGTTCAATGTAGATTTATTGCTTTGCTTCTCAAATACTGTGGAATTGAACTTTGAGGACTGAAAAATGTTGTAGGAGGGGATCAAAGTGTCTAAATAGGACAGATACACCAGAAGGCAAATGCAGTCATCCTTTCAGCTCTGAAGTGCAGTGCTGGGCCAGACCTTACAGATCATTACTAGATGTTAAGCAGGTTCTGCCTGACGAGTGACCTACATGGCGTTAGCCTTGAACTCTTCTGTGTAGTTACTGCGTGGACACCTCCGGCTCGCTGCAGAGCATTTGGGATGCCCTCACAGAGAGGGTAAAGGGAAAACCGTCAAGACACACGTCAGTCATTTGTGGTTGACCCTTAGAGACAAGTTGAGGGATTCCTCAGTAAGAAACCTCATGGATTTGCTCCCCAGACACACGGGCTGTACAGGTGCTTGATTCATTGTCTGGCACTTTCCATTAGCCTTGAGTTCTCTTATATTTCACCTTTACACTATTACTTCTTTTTAAATTTCTTTGCCATTGTAAAAATGCCACTTCCCTTCCTTCCCACCCCTGACTGGCATTTTGCCACACTACTGGGACATTATCTTAACCCATTATCTTGTTCAGCTTGTGAATATTCTTACAATGCCTAGTCTTTTCCTGTTGCTATGGCGATCTTTTCTTGGTGCTGATGAAGCGCAGGAAAGCAACAATTCATTCTTTTCCAGAACGTGACTTTCTGGTGATCTTAAAGAAAAAAAGTCAATAATCAAACCAAGCAGATCATCAATGTAGTTCTCTTCCTGTGTTTTCCTCTCATCTGTATCATCTCAGTTCATGTCAGACAATCCGATTTGCCTTGGTTACATGAAATGGAGTGTAGAAAGGAGGCAAAAAAGAGCTTGATCAGAGGCCATGTTATTTTAAAATGACATGTCCTGCCTTTACATGGTGTCTGAACCCAGCGAAGTACCTGTCTGGCCTGCACTTCAAAACAAAAGTTACAGTTGCATGCCTTTAACTATAGTAGCATCATATCTATTACTGTAGCATATGGAAAAAAGAAAGCTAATCACCAGTTAGTTCAAATGAACTAAGATGTATGTCACTGATAGCTGACACCTTGCTCATTGTAGGGAAGCAAACAAAAACCCAACCAGATGATTGGTTTTTGTAGTAAATAAACTAAAATGCCTTGTACTTAATATCAGAAGATGCATGTTATTGGGGTGAGGCTGTTCAGTTTGTGGGTGTTTTTATAGTAGATAAAGGTTCTGTAGTTTATGAATTAAGTTTCACTTCCAAACTTAGTTATACAAAGAAGTTAAAAGAAACCTACTACATGTAGGTACCTCTCCATTTTAGGTAAAATGTGCTCCAGCTTGCCAAAGCACCCGGTCTTGAGTTGAGTAAAAGCAAGAGGTACCAGAAGAGGCAAGGTACAGACACGAGTTGACAAACCATGCTTTAGCACCTCTGGGCTGCCGTGGCGCTCTGTAGCTGTGAGATGTGTTTATTCTGAGCATGCAGAATGGCATCTAGGGTGTTTCACAAACCCATATTAACTTCAACATATTAAGAATTAAACAGTGCAGGATTAAATGCTACGTCTGTGATGTTCTTCCAAGTGGTGCGAGTTTTTTCTGACTACCAATTTAAACCCTAAAAAGCTCTTGGTTTTTATAGAAGGTGAAAGGCCTTGCCTTTTAAAAATCAACAGCTTACTTTGAAACCTGTATGGAGCATGTCTAGCAAAAACATTGTATGAAGACATGCAACGCTGGCATCAAGCTTAAAAGGGCTGCCTGCAGGATTTAATCCCTTTTTGTTACAAATTCATCCCTCTTCCTTTAACAAGTGGTGGCAGGAGAAGAGAGTGGGAGGGCTGACTGCTGGCCTGTGAACTGTGCTCACCTAATTATCTCTGTCAAGTGAAAGATAGCAGTCGATTTCTGGACTAAGAGGAAGTGTCACTCATGTAGTGCTGGTGACAGTGCTGAAGGTCACCTTCTCGATTCAGGTGCTATCAGTTGAGTTGATCCTAGGTTACAGACACATGAACAAAAGGGTCTTCTCCTGGCCACAGACATGGGAAGAGTCCTGTATGCACCCGTGAATCCAACAGCAGGAGGATGACAGTCCTTGGTAACTGCAGCGCAGCGCTCATTCTCTCCCCCAAGGGATGGCAGGGAGCAGGGCCGCTTCTCCAGGCTTCCTGCAAGGGGCAGGTGAGTCGGACAGGAAGGATGGAAGAGGTGCACTGCTTCTGTTCATGGTGCAGCCTTACACATCTACATTTCATCTCCTAGGTGTTAGCAAAATGGAATCAACATGAAGGCAGTTGCTAGAATAAAATGATGCTCCTCCTTCTTCAAGCATAGCAAACAGGATTAGTTACGTGTACTGCAATCAGAGAATGATGCCAGATTCTCTTTGAAGTTATTGATCACTCAAGGTGGTTGTTTTTTTAATTAACATAGCATGTAAACATTGGGAGGCTCTTTGTCTGCCAGGAAGCTAGTTTAATATTTATACTTCCTACACACGAGACGGAAGATGCACTTGCAGCCTGCCCTGCGGGCTGACAGATTCTTCCGCTGCCAGAATCTGGTGCAGTTCTGTGATCAAGTTTTCTCTGCTGAGGGTGACCAGCATTCATCCCCAGTTCTCCCAGTATAAATACTGTCGCAGAAGTCCATGGCCTTGACCTGAGCTGTTTTCAAGCAGGAAGGTGGCATTTTTTTTCAGTCAGTCCGGGATTAAGTCTAGCAGAAACTCGTAGCTCAGTTTCTAAGCACCAAGTGTTTCTTGCGGGCAGGAAGGTAAGTGGTAAAGATTGGGATGCACCAGTTTCTATTTTTCTCCTCCCTATTGAGCAGCTAACTAGGAAGAGCATCTGTCTCAAATTTGGCACAATCAGTGCTTCATCCTTAAAGAGCTTAATTATGGCACTTGAATTACTATAAATCTCTCTATTGATTGGGAATAAAAATGCCTCCCTCGGTCTCATCTAGTTCCTTCACACAATTAGGCATCACTTTCTCTTGTCTTTAAGAATATATAATTTCAGTGTGAAATTTCTGACACTCTGTCTAGTGTATCAGGCAGCTGACAGACTGCCAAGCTTGGAAATTCTTCTGGCATTCATTGAGAGACCAGCATTGTAGCTCTTTCATGAGCAGTGATTTGCATGTTAATGCTGCTACCTAACGTCAAGACAAGAAGGTGGTAATATTAAAAAGAGAGTGTTTTCCATCCTCTGCAAAGATGATATTTTTTCCACAAGTGCCATCTTTACCTAGGAGCATAGGGATGGCATAAATTATGAAAAAGGTGGAGTAGAGAAGGAAGCATTTAGATGCCTGAGCACTTCATGTGACTGCCTTCTTTTTCCTTTCCTTAGGCTGAGAAGCACTTAACTTCCTGTGTAAGAGGTTATTCTAGACTACAGTCAGGTCATTACAGCTATTAAAGTTTATTTTAGATTTAAACTCTCCAGTCTGACTCATTCCTCATCCCCAGTCCAAGCCTTTTTTTTTTCCTAAGTGGATGAACGCGAAAAGTGCAGAACCTGATCTTGTTGTTCATATCCTGGCTGTGAGAAGCCCTTTCTTCCAATGACTTCAGCTAATAGAGTCCATCATTTTTTTTCCTCCTTTTTTGTAGCTGTCATAACTTTACAGGCTTGTTTGATATTCTTGTTTGTTGGGTTGGATTTTTATTTTTTTTTTTTTTAATTTCTTTCAAGTATCCCCTGTGGGTGCATTACCAGTGATCAGCTATATACAGCTCGGCTTTGATCAGCACTTAACTCTACTGTTCCTTTGAGAGCACTGAAGCGTTTCATATTCTCCATTAATTATAAAAGGAAGTATTTGTTTGTCTTCCTCAACAGGTGAAATGTAAGCACTGCACATAAAATTTTCATGGAAGTGATAGCTTAGGCCAGCATGACTAATACAGCAGCAGTTCTTGTCTGGAGTCATAGTGAGACCAGTCGGACAGACGTTACTACCAGGAATTAAAAGACAGCTGAGTTTAGGTCTTTGGTGAGTGGGGCTGCTCTCATGTGCTGCAAATCAATGGGAAAGTTGGCAGAGCAAACGTTCAGAATGCTGCTTCTGAGACAGAACTTGCTGAAGTTCAGATAGACACAGTCCGAAAGTGATCCTAAATGGATCCTAAAGGAAGAAAATTCTGTAGTATAGAGGTACCAGTTACTAAATGTAAAAAAAAAAAAATTAAAAGTTTTGGTCTTGCCTGCCCATTCTGTGGCATTCCAAAAATGATCCTAAATGTCTGCTCTCCTTTTCAAATAAGGAAGGAAATTCTGTAGTATAGAGGTACCAGTTAAAAAATGTTAAAAATAGTTTTGGTCTTGCCTTCCCATTATGTGCCATTAATTGCTCGTGTGCAAATAAAAGTGTAAAACTGACTATTGGGAAATGACCATACAAAGGGGGAAGCAGAGGAGAATCCCCTAGCCCATCCCAACAGACAGTGCAGGGATGTTTGTCCCTGTTTCATCCAGGACTGACTTGGGGGAGTTTAAGCTGCAAGGATGGGTCTCCCCATAAGGCACTGGTTTTTCTGCCCCTTTGCTAGGGAAATTGCTTTTTAAGACAGCAAGAAAGAATATTGCACTGCTCTCTTGGAGCAAGCCAGTCATAAAACTCCATTTCCAACTCTTCTTAAGAGTGTGGACAGCAGAGTTCACCTGCGGAAGGAAATGAAAGGGCTGGTGACAGCTGATTCAGAAACAACTGTCTTGACAAGGTGTCCCTGCTGACGGCAGGGGGATTGGAACTAGATGATCTTTAAGGTCCCTTCCAACCCAAACCATTCTATGATTCTATGACTGATGGGGCTGTCAGCTCTGGTGTCTGGTGTGAAGGATTTGCATTGTCCCGGCTCATTAACTGTGTATGATCACATGCTTTTGAAAGAAAGGTTCTTATTTGGATTTGTGCTAAAGAAACTTACTGAATTAGTGTTAGCAGAGTAACAAAATGACCTCCTGTATTAACAGCAACGCTTACCGAGAGTACTTCCTTTCTTTTAATTTTATTTCGATTAAAAGGATGACACAAGAGGTTCTGAGGGATTAGATAACAGTGAAAGACTTCTTTCTTTCCTTCTTCTTTAGATAAATATCTAGGGATCACAATTTCCTTTAAATTGCATCCGAGGATGCTGGATGTATTTCTGAACTACTGTGTGAAGTTTCTCTGCTGTTACAACATGAATTTTTAATTCTTTATTTACAGCCAGTGCTGATTTCCCATACAATGGTCAAGCAATAGGAGATGGAGTTAACAGAAACTCTGCCATTATTGGAGGTAAGAAAACCATCTGCTTTTCTGAGATAGGTGGCAGTATGACTGTGACAGCTGAATTGCAGTTCATAACATACTCTGTTTGCTAAGAGCTGACTGTGGGAGAACTACACCTCAGCAAATGCAATAGAAATTTGTGTCAGTCCATTCGGGCACACTGTCCTAGTGAAAGGCTTTGTTCTCACTTCGTTTGTCCCCTCAGATTCAGTTTTAACCACATCAAAATACTGTAATCCACGTATTAAGTGTCCATGAAGGGAGCTACTTTGCAGTAGTTACTTCTGGTAATGGAGCAGTTAATGTATAGGAGATGGCAAGGACACTTTCCCTGTGACAGCAGATTCAACATGAATCAACCAGTGTTCCTGGTTTCTTTTCCCTTGTCCCCTCAAGGGTCTCTGTTTCCACACCCAGGTTTAGATTAGTTGCTTTAGTTTTGAACTGCCATGTTACTTTCCCTTTTTCATTTATATTTTTATTACAACTTTACAATACTAGAAGGATAGCCTTGCATTCCTCAGAAAGATCCAGACCACACCTGAACAGCCTGGCTGTCCAGCGTATTCAGCTAACAAAACTGCTGTAACATAAATCTAGATGATTCCAAAATTTTTTTTTAACCTGAGAATTTAATCATGTTTTCATCCTGGAGAAGATCCTCATGCCTGTAGAGAAGGGCTAAAAAAGGAGTGGTGCTGATTTAGCACATAGTTGCCTATGCCCAAGAGGGGAAGATATGTGGGACTTCTCCATTACAGGGCTGAACCCCAAAGAGACCATTGTGGGGGGAGCAATTAAGGATGGATCTGATGATAAAGCAGTAATTACTGATGATAAAGCATTTACATCTGTAATTATGTGGAGCCAGTGCCTAGTGGGTGGAGCAAGCCAACAGTGAGCCCAGCCAATTTTCAGTGGACGTGTTGAGGGGCTGTGATGGAGCTACGCATATAGATCAATCATAGAATGTATATAGAGAGAGATCTATCATGGAATGTATATGTAGAGAGATCTGTCATAGAATGTATATGTAGAGAGATCTGTCATAGAATGTATAGAGAGAGAGATCTGTCATAGAATGTATATAGAGAGAGATCTGTCATAGAATGTATATGTAGAGAGATCTGTCATAGAATGTATAGAGAGAGAGATCTATCATGGAATGTATATGTAGAGAGATCTGTCATAGAATGTATATGTAGAGAGATCTGTCATAGAATGTATATGTAGAGAGATCTGTCATAGAATGTATATGGAGAGAGATCTATCATGGAATGTATATGTAGAGAGATCTATCATGGAATGTATAGAGAGAGAGATCTATCATGGAATGTATATGTAGAGAGATCTATCATGGAATGTATATGTAGAGAGATCTATCATGGAATGTATATATAGAGAAAGATCTATCATAGAACGTATATAGAGAGGGATCTATCATAGAAGGAATCGTAGGAGGTGTGCATCAGTGACTCCATCCTCAAAGAGCTGCCTGGGCTGTGACACGTCACCATGTCACCCCGTGTTTTGGGAGCACGTGGCACCCTCTGCCTCATGGTCAGCACAGCTCACCTCGTAAGCAGGTATTCGTGGTGAATTTTACCTACAGTGTGAAAGTCACTAGTGGACTCCACTCAGTGACGTTTTGTACATAGCAAAAACTGTCTGGAAATAATGAGAGTGGTGGAAACCAAGGAACCGTGGTGATGTTTAACTGCCCAGGTCGCTTCGGCCCAGCTCAGCTCAGAGGGGTTGTGGGATCCTTTCTTTGTGTCAAAATCTGTAGGTGTTCTCCTTGCTAGTGGCATCTTTTCTTTCCTCCTCTGCGTAGGCGTCATCGCGGTGGTGATCTTCACCATCCTCTGCACCCTGGTGTTCCTGATCCGCTACATGTTTCGCCACAAAGGAACCTACCACACCAACGAGGCCAAAGGGGCAGAGTCAGCCGAGAGCGCCGACGCCGCCATCATGAACAATGACCCCAACTTCACGGAGACCATCGACGAGAGCAAGAAGGAATGGCTTATCTAAGCCCACGGGGACGGGGCCTGGGCCTGGGGTGGGGCACGAGCTGGGCCAGGGTGGGACTGGGCTGACTCTTGCAGTGGGGAGAGAACACTCTGCGTCGGACGCTTGAGCACACGTACGGTAAAAAGATCAGCACAACTGGAGGAGCAAGCGACAGGAAAACACCGCTGAGACTGGAGGAAAAAAAATAATAATATCTCAAGCATTTAAGAACAAACACTTTTTAATATTTATTTCCAGCAGATTGCCCCTTCCGTGTCCAAACGACTACAACGCAGAGCCGTTTCGCAGCTTCGGCACCGGTGGAGGTTTTCAGTAGTGCCTGTCTGTTTCTGTGTGTGTTCAGAGGTGTTCTGGATCCCTGCCATGAGAAACGGGGCTGGTTTTTTACATTTTTTAAAAGCTGTTTAAAACGTGAGTCGTTCTGTCCTGAGAACAAGTGGCAGACCTTCGCTCCCGGGGCTGTGTTCTCTCGTGGCTGGCCACTTCCCACCAGGTTGCCCTCAGCCTGGATCACCGCTCACTTCGGTGGCGTTGGAGCGGGGTTCAGGGCTGGGGGTGGGACCGGGTGGGCAGGATTAGTGCAAGTCCTACTCTCCAGTTTTCCAGCGTGTCATCAGCCCTGGCAGGAGCCATCATCTTCTTGACCCTGGCACTTTGTTGATTGCATACAGTTCTCATCAGCAATGTAAAAACACTGTTATTACAACTGCTACCATTACTAGTGGAGAGGACGATCATAAAGCACAGGAAGCTTGGGGGGTTGTTTTAATTATTATTATTATTATTATTATTATTTTGTTGGTCTCTGAGGGAAGCTGATGCTGTGTGAGTCTGTAGACTTAGTCTGTCCCTGTGTCCCTGGCTGGTGACCTGAGGCACATGCCAGTTTAAACTCATACTTACTGGCATATACCGTGCTTAGGCGTAAGCGTTGTAGTAGGGAATTAGAGCCAGGCTTGGTTTGCTTCTGTTTCGTTTTTATAGGCTGTTGCAGAAATATCAGTCCAGCTCTAGTCAGTGCATTTGAACCCATGGGCTTCACAGAGTACTTTTTTTTTCCAACTCTAATGTGGCACTTTATTCTTTAAATCCTTTTTTTCAGTCCCTTTGCAAGGCAAACCTTTGGTGGCAGCGTTGGGGCGGGCGGGCAGTGAGGCGAAGGAGGCGTGGGGACGCGCAGTGCACACTGGAGAGTTCCTTTTCAATCCCAGGATCTCCCTGAGCTGTTTTGTGGCCTTTGTAAGGCACTTTTCAGCAGAGCGAGGCCAGCACCAAGTGCAGCATTGCACCCCATGTCCCTTCTTGGAGCAGGGGGGTTGTAGGTGTCGCCGGAGGAGGCAGGCAGCTCGTAGGCGAGGCGAAGGGGCAGCCTGAAGCCCCAGCACCCTTTGGTGGCAGTAACAGAACCTCCCTTGCCCTCTGCAGAGGAGTGGGGGTCTGCAGTGGGCTGATTGGATGGGAATTTAGGGCCTCAATGGGCAGTTTCTCGCAGTGGAACTGAATGAAGGAATGAATGTATTGCAGGGCCTTTGCTGTGTGCTAAAAGAACAGAAACAATAGCAAGAACTGCCCTTTAAAAGTATTTATGCTCCTGGCAATCCTAGGTTTCTTTTCTCTTTATGATTGCTGGGTTTAGTATGCACAGATTTAATCCATTTTCCTGTAGAAGAAAGATGTATTTTTCACCCAGATCTGCAATCCACTACCCTGAGCAGTGCTGGCATCTTTCGTTTTCTTATCTTTATGGTTGTATCTTTCATTATCCTAGTCAATGCTTTCAAAAAAAAACCATGGAGGAAGAAAAAATATTGGTGTCTTACCAGACCAGAAATTGATAAGCACAATTTGTCAGATGGATAAGGGCCAGAGAGTTTGGGTTTAACAGTGGCAGCCTAAAGTCCTTTTCTGGATTCACTAAACACAGATATTGGAGCAAATCAAGCCCATCCATTCATGGATTTGGAATTGGCATACAAGTTGCCCATTGAAAAAAAAAATCCCAGTTTCTCAGGTAACATTATGTGGCTGGGGAGTTCAGGTGGATGTAAAAATCACCTCTGTCACCCTTGTGCTCCCTCTGCACTCTCTTGCCTTGCCTCCAGGGTTAACCTGAACCCCTTTTGTGTTTAATCGAGCAGATGAGTCCTTCTTCTTGTTTAATCGTGGGTGTAAGATAAGTCTCCACCCTTGGGGAGTATCAGCCTGGGATGGATCCAGCCTGCACTGCTGATTATCCAGCAAAATACCGAGCAATCACAGATGTCTCTGTGGGATTGAAAAGGCATTCTCTTTTCTATATTACGTTAGGTTTAATTTTATTTTAATGGTATTTCAGTCCACTCTGCAAAACATCCTTGCCTGCAGCTTCAGGTTAGTTGAAGAGCAGTGAAGATAGCAGCATTTGCATAGACTGGGATTTGGTTTGCAGCAAAAAGGGTCTTACTGATCTGAATGTAATGGCTGGGAGAGGGATCAGACAGATGTGTCCTGCGAGACTCGAGTCCTCTGCTGCTTCACGTGGGAGAGACAGAGTTGGCAGCCGCTGTGCAAATGTGCCAGACGCCTCAGCACGGGCTCTCGGTGCCTGACCGAGTCCTTGGTGAAGCCAGGGGCAGTTGGCTGGGTTATGGTGGTGAGGCCTGGGACATCTAGTCACCGATTTCCTAAAAGATTACCTAAAGCTAATCTCCCACAACCCTGTAAGCAAGAATTTCTGGGAAACAACCTTTGACCACAAGCAGTAGTTGAAAATTTGAAAAACAGGTTTTAAATTTCTGAAATCAAGTTGCAAGCATCTCCATCTCGCCGTTGACTGGACACTGTGGACCTCTATGTGAAGTTCATTAGTGCTGTGGTACAATGTTGATCATCTTCCATCTTGTCATTGTTTTTGTGATAATATTATTTTCATGATATGGTCACTTTCATATCTCTAGAAACTCTTTTAATTATTAGAATTCTTGTTTCTTCTTAGACTGGAACATAGATGTGATATTGTAGACTAGCAGCTGGTCTCTGCGTAGGCACGTGGTGACGAGGTGAATGAATTCCTGGCTGTCTGCTCTCTGTTTCATTTTTGAGAATGGTGTAAGTTTAATTGTAGGTGGTGGTCCTTCAGCAGCCCAGCAGTGAGGCAGAAGCAGGCTCAGAGAAGTAGCTTGTATATTTTGCTAGCACTACATCAGGGAATCATAGAATCATTCAGGTTGGAAAAGACCTCCAAGATCATCCAGTCCAACCATCAACCCAACACCACCATGTCCTGAAGTGCCATGGCTACGTGTTTTTTAACACCTCCAGGGAAGGTGACTCCAGCACCTCCCTGGGCAGCCTGTTCCAACGCCTGACTGCCCTTTGGGTGAAGAAGTTCAGTGAACTTCTTTTCAGGGAGCTGTAGAGAGTGAGAACGTCTCCCCTCAAACAACCCCAGCTCCGTTGCCCTTCTTTGGACACACTCCAGCAACTCAATGGATTTCCTCCTCTGCAAACTGTTACTGAAGGTTGAAACAGCGTCCATCATTTCCTTCACCCACTCTAATTTGTGCCAGACGTCCCTGTTGTTGAGCAGGTACTGCCCGTGTGCCTGTAGTGAGAACATCTCTTGGAGGGGCGAGTGGATTGTGCTTTTATAAAACTCTGCTTTCCCCAAAGAACATTAAAATAATTGGGTTTTTGTCACCTCTTTTTAGCTGCTTCACCTGTTTGAACTGCGCAGGAAAATGTAGCTTGCTGTACTGGGTGGGGAACCCAAGTGTCCCAGTTGTGTTTCCAAAAGGCTCGTTCCCGATTCCACAGGAACTGATGGCAGAACTGCCGCCAGCGGTGGGGAGAGCAGGACTGGGTTGGGGACTCGGGCTCTCCGTGTCAGTGAGATAACATGGGCAGCGCCTCGGATCCTCGCTCACAGCACACACACAGCACCAGGTAATGAGTCGTGGAGCTCCAGAGAGCCAGAACAGGGGAGGAATCCTTGTGGTGTCAACCCAGCCTTTGGAGGAAATCCGCAGTCCAGGCTGCCGGGTTTGAATCTAGTCTGTCACTGCGTATCCCATATTTCCTGGTAGAAAAGGTATTAAACAGGAATGGGCATCTTTAACTGGCACTGGAGCATTTCTGCTTTCCCTTTTTCTTGTCTTAAACGTTACCTCTGCCTTTTCTATCTCTCCTAGCGGTTACCACTTCAAAGGTGCGGCAGCATTTTAACACCGTGCTCTAGGTAATACGTGAAAGGATGGTCATCATAAATATTTCAGTAAGACTGCTAAAGCAGTGCTGCAGATGTACAAGTTTATTGTAGTGATAAGCAGTTGGTTTGAGAGTCTAGTAAATAATTATATTTTAATTAAAACAGTGTCCTTTAATGGCAGGTGCATCTGGTTTCCAGGGTGTCTGTTGAAATGCGAAGCTATCTGAGTTTGACAAGCAGTAGCTTTTAAGCCAGTTTCTCCCTTGAACAATTTTACCTTCCAGCAAGCAGGGTGATCCTGAAAGGGTGTCATTTTTGAAAAGTGGAACCTAAATTCTGTTAATCATTTCATCATCCATCCTAGAGAAACAAAGCAGAAACCTGGCCTTCTCAGAGCAACAGCATGTAAACTAGAATGGAAGGAGAACATGTGTGTATGCCTCACATCTGCTGTGAATGTCTTTCCTTTTAACTCAAGTTCTATTAGGAACCAGATTGGTAAATAAAAGTAAAATTTAAAAAAATAATTCTAAAAAAAGAGGAGATAAATTTGAAATAGTTTTAACTACCCTAACGGTTGTTTCCTCATGCTTTGTATATTCTGATCATTGTCTGTACTTTTTCCCTCTCTAGTACCAGGAGATCAGTTTGGAAAGGCCAGAAGTTGGAAAGGCCTCGTAAGAAAAGACCTGCAGTACGTGCAAAGAGGGACTTGAGAACACAGGTACAGATAGGAAGAGAGGGTGCTGAAAGCAGGGGAGAGTTTCTGAAGTGCAGGTACGTTCCCCCTGATTACCTGTTAGGGAGGAGAACCTCGGGCAGTGT